TGAGCAGGGAATTTGAGTGCAGATCTGTATTAACCAAGCACATGTTGCTCTTTTTAGTGTCTATTTATTAAAGAGAGTGTGTTCACTATCTGTGTTTGTGTGTGTGAGGCCCCATGTTTGTTCGGTACACATCCTCTCACAGCAGGTCCAACCAAAGTCCATGTTTCTCTTCTGAGTGGTCCTGTTGGTCTTCTTTCTTGTTGTTTGATTCAGGAGAGCTCTCATGCTTCTTGTATCCGGCTCAACATCATGATGTCTGTCGGCCATCGGCGATATCGGCCCAACCCTACTGTATACAGTACCATTCTAAAGTTTGGGGACAGTACTTTAAAAAATGATCAGAAGTGAAAGACTTTTATATTGTTACTAAATATTATATTTCAAATAAATGCTGTTCTTTTGAACTTTGTATTTGTCTGGGAATACTTTTTTTATGGAATCGTGATACTTTTTTTTAAGCTGCGCAACTGTTTTCAACATTGATAATACTAAATATTTCTTGAGCAGCAAATCAGCATATTAAAATGATTTCTGAAGGATCTTGTGAAACTGAAGACTGGAGTAACGGCTGTGAAAATCCAGCTTTTCTTTCACAGGAATAAATTACATCTGTAAATAAATAGAATAGAAACAATTATTTGTAATTTTGTAACAATGTTTTACATTATCACACTTTAAACAGTAAAAATATCTTGGTGAACCCAAACTTTTGAACAGTAGTGTGTAAATATGATAATTTGTAATAAATGTATACAATTAATAAACAAGTAAATATAAATAACATGCTTTATTTTAAATGTTTTGAATACATTATATTTATCCCATAAATATTATATTATAATATTTATAAATTATATAATATATATTAATAATTATATAATATTTATATGAAAATATAAATGTATATAAAATATGTAAAATATGGTTTTACATGTATTTGTACATTTATACTTGTGTTTGACCTAGGGCTGTCGCGATAACCGCAATATCGCAATACCACGATATTGACGAGCAAACCGCAGAGGAATGCAAGAACCGCAGCAACCGCGATTTTTGCGTGTTTTATTTTTTCGTAAGGTTATGATTTATGGTGGTAATATGTGTGTGTGTGTGTGTGTGTATATTTATGGTGGTAATACCGCATACCGCACTATTGAGCCACTCAAAATTACCGGAAGGGAAATTCCCTCACCGCGACAGCCGTAGTTTGACCCCCCTTAAAAATATTAGTAATAATAATATTGTATTTTTAGAAAATATATGGGGATAAAATCTCGTTTGTGTTAGCCAGCTACTGGACAACAATGTTTAATAAAACACAAAAATCCAACATTCTGGTGGTGGTCAGTAGGGGGATGTAGAAATATTGAGCTGTGATTTTCATTTTCTCTCTACTATTGTGTCTATAAAAAAATTTAATCAAAAATAATAAAATAAAATAGAACACCTGGAAGTTTTCATTTGCAAAGCATAAAAGCACATTTATGTGTAACTCTCTTACACTGGTCCTGGATCATCAAGCCATCCTTATTGTTTAGCCCTAAAGCAGCGGTTCCCAAACGTGGGAACCACTGCCCTAAAGTGATGTACCTTTCTTATTTTGGTACACAGTTGCTAGGTTGTTCTGGGTGGACTCAAGCTCTCATTTAGTGTAAGTCAGTGGGATGTTTTGCCCTTGTTTCATCATCTACCAGGTCAAAAATCGTAAGCCTAATCACGTAGAAAGAAAACGCATATCTCAACTATAAGCTGCCTATTCAATGTGTCATAACAGTGCAGAATAATTTTCCCACCGGGTTCAAATCCCTAACTGTAAGTACAAGCATGGTGATCTTTGGCTTAGCAAGTACCACTAATAAACTTGTGGCTTGGCATGTGTCCTTTCTTGGGCTCTTACTGGTGCTTCTCTCTAAGTGTGATCTGCATGTGCGAATCTCTCTGTTCTGTTCTGTTCTGTTCTGCATCTCTCGTGTGATTCACCCTGAAACCTGCCTGACTCCACATGACTGTTTATTACAGCCACACATGTTCTTCAGTCCATCCTCCATCCCACACGAAAACACTCTCTCTCTCTCTCGCTGTGCTTGAGCCGACGTCCTCCAGTAATACCACTCAAGCTGATTACCCCTTAGCCATGCAGGCGGGGTCAGCAGGAGACAGAAAGAAAGAGAGGAGGGATATTTGTAGGTGGGGGATGAATAGGTAATCCAAAGAGGCCCACAGCACACAAGAGCTCATGAAAATTGTGTTTTATACAGCTGCTGTAAACCAGTATGCGTCCTGTTGGGAATATCCCTTTCTTCTGGCACAGGGCCAACTCACATTGGAGCCAATGCCACATCTCAGATGTGAATGTGACCGTGAGCATAGTGCAGACGTAAACCAAAGCCCCGGTGCTCCATTAAGGGCCAAATGAACACATATAGCACAGTAAATATCAGAGCTCAGATTTCATGATTGGATTTTGGCTTTCTGAGCTTTTTTGGTACAAAGCAATTTTTAAACAAACAAGGTTAGATGGTCTCGCCTAACCTCTCCATTGATTTTCCCGAATTCAGTCTGGTCCACTTCCGCCCACTTAGACAGGAAGAGACCGTCTGACCGACATCTAAAGCACCCAGCCACAGTTTATTTGTTTTATGTGCTGTTTAGGGGTGAGTGAATCTGATAATAGCATCAGATAATAACAGATAATCAGATAATAACAATAATAGACTAGTGCTATCAATCAATCAATTAGTCAATAAATAATATTTGGCTCAACCAGAAGTTCAGTTGTGATTTGTTAGTTCATTTATTTAAAGTACTTATTTAACATATATAGCTTAAAAAATTAAATATACAGTTCTGTTTATGAATATTTAGTTTATTTATTTTTAAGGTTCTTTTCAATGGATCAAAAACATGCATCACGACCAATGTAGTCCAATTCCTGAACAAATGACTCTGAGTTGATTATTTTTTTAATGATTTAAGCACATATTGCTTACTATAACTTACTGTAACCTATTATGATAATATAACTATGACAATGTGTAGACAAAAATATACATCATATTTTGTCAATGACATTTGACAAATATTCATGGACAATGTTACCATATTGTTTAACATTTAAAATATTATATTTGTAATAACAATATTGTAGTTTTTTTATCATTTAAAATAACTGTTTTCTATTTTATATAGATGGCAAAATTACATTTTCAGCAGCAGTCTTCAGTGTCACGTGATCCTTCGATATCATTAATATGCTGATTTGGTGCAAAGAAACATTATTGTTGAAAACAGTTGTGCTGCTTAACATTTTTTGTGGAAACTGATACATTTTTTAAAAGATTTTTTGATGAATAGAAAGTTCAAAATAACTATTTATTTGAAAAATAAATATTACTAATGCTTTACTCGCACTTTTGATCAATTGAATTCATTCTTGCTGAATAAAAGTAGGCTATGTATTTTTTTTTTCTAATAAAACTACTAAAATAATCATTCATTGAATTGCAACAAATGGAATCGTTAAAATGATTTTACAGCTCCCTTTCCTACTTGCTACTAAGTCTCTCAAACAAAACTGATTATTTTTTTTAGAGATTTAATGCAAAGCAAACTTTTTCAAATCTAGTTATTTCTTCCACACAAGCCTCACAATCTGATTGGAGCTTGTTATTTTTAAAAATGTTTCTACTTTTGTATGTAATACGCACGAGACTGTCAGCGAACGGCCCATGGGTGTGCCATATTGATGCTTACTGAAGGTTAGAGGCAAATTTTGTGTGAAATTAGATCCACTCAGATGAATATAACCACGGCAGGTGCACTGTGTAAACAGCAGGTATGACCGTCCCAGGATGCTGTGTGCTTGTTCCAGAGAACTCGAAGCAATTAAGCAGAAATGTTGCCACAACAATCCTCTGTGACCTCACATCAGGAGACCAGCCAGGACAATAACTTAATGTGGTGCTGCCACCTATTGGCCAAAACTGATATTACTTCAACAGGAGAGCTCAATACTTGTGCTCAGAGACAGTCTTTGGCATTGTCTTTGAAGCTTGCTCATGTCTCAGGGGAGTACCATTACATAATGTGTTTGAAGTAGAAAAAAATGGTGATAACACGTGTGTGTATATATATGCACCTTGAGGCATTGCTCTGTTTCAGATGACTTTGTTGAAGGTAGTGTGGGCTTTATCATGACTGTGCGCCTGTGTGTATTCATACACGTGTGATTTAAGAGCAGTGGGAAGGACTACAGATGCTGCAGGGGCTGGTGGGTGTGCGTTATCAGCATTGTGCCAGCGTGTCCACATGACTGCCCAAACTGGATTAGTCAGTGCAGTGCGTGAAGCTTCTTATTTTCTCTTTTAATTCCAAGCAGGAGAATGTAAATATCACTCCTCAGCAGGCTCTCTCTATCTCTCGCTCCCTTCTGTCTGTGTTTTTCTGTCCATTCTCTCCTTCACTGACTCATTAAATTGCTTCAGCCAGGGTTGTGCTGAATTCTGATTTTGAGAACTGGCTCGCTTTCATTTCACAGAATGGAATTTGAATTTATTTGGCCACACCCCACAGGAAGTTGAATTGTAATGAAAGGAAGCGGACTTTGTTGAATTTTAAAGCATAATGAAATTTTGTCAAATTTTGTGACATTATCACAATTAAAAATAACTGTTTTCTATTTTAACATTTTAAAATGTAATTTAATTGTGTGATGGCAACACTGAATTTTCAGCATCATTACTCCAGTCTTCAGTGTCACATGATCCTTCAGAAATCATTCTAATATGCTGATTTGCTGCTCAAGATATATATATATATATATAGTTTTTAAAGATGTAATGAAATATTTGTTTTATTAAAATATCTGTATAAAGTGCCATTTCAGTATTCATTATTTTTATCATTTCATATTCCTGGAGAAAAAAAAAAAAGTAGATTAAACTTTAGTCCTAATTACATATCTAATTTCTTCTTCTTCTTTTTTTTTCTTTGCCCATCAGGTCCCAGATGGGCATCCTGGAATCTTGGAATCTTCATTTGTATCCGCTGTGCGGGAATCCATCGGAATCTTGGCGTGCACATATCACGAGTTAAATCCATAAACCTGGACCAGTGGACTCATGAGCAGATACAGGTAAGCTTTATGGGCCCTGTTTATGTATGATCTATGTATATGGCTGATTGATATAGATGTGTTTGTGTTGTGCTCAGTCTGTTCAGGAGATGGGGAATGCCAAAGCTCGGCGACTATATGAGGCCTTTTTACCAGAGTGCTTCCAGCGCCCAGAGACAGACCAGTATCCTTCAGCGCTTATATATAGTATGTGTGTGCATGCATGTTTAAGCTTATTCTCCCCTCATGTTAAAGGTTTCCTTAAGCTACACCTTACAGAGCTTCTGAGATTTTTATCCGTGACAAATATGATAAGAAGAAATATATGGATAAATGCATTGACATCCAGTCCTTCAGGGTAAGTCCTGAGATTTTGGAATTAAAAATTCTCATTGTAATTTTATCTTTTACTTTGATTTTGTGAAAGAATAAAATTAATTTTCTTTCCTTTTTTAGAAAGAAAAGAGTGAGACAGTAACAAAAGAGGCTCCTGTTGTTTTTGAAAAGATGAAGCTGGTGGGTTTCAGCATTTGTGAAGTTGAGCTGTAGCAGTATAGTATAGTATCAGTATAGTATATAACTGTATTTGTGGCAGCTGTTGCTTTTCAAAATTTGTATTCATATAAACTGGGAATATTGATATAAATGCTAAAAACAAAGTTATTGAGGGGGGAAACATTAAAAACACATTTTATTATTTATTATTTTTATAATAATAATAATAATTGTAAAAAAAAACAAAACATTAAAATAAAGAAATACATTTGATTTTACAACTTGATTTGATTTTTTTATCATTCTAATTTAGATTATAATTGGATTATTATATACATTAATAATAATTTATCATCTTAAGGGAGCTTTCACACTAGTTCTTTTGGTGCGCACCTGGGTTCATTTAACGTCAGAGTTTGGTTAGTTTGGATAATGTAAAAAAAAAACTAACATTAAAATAAAGAAATACATTTGATTTTACAACTTGATTTATTGATTTTTTTATCATTCTAATTTAGATTATAATTGGATTATTATATACATTAATAATAATTTATCATCTTAAGGGAGCTTTCACACTAGTTCTTTTGGTGCGCACCTGGGTTCATTTAACGTCAGAGTTTGGTTAGTTTGGATAATGAGAACACTATTTTCTAAGCTCGGGTGCGCATCCGCGAACCGTACCCGAGTCCACCTAAAAAGGCTGGTCTGGGGTACGGTTCATGCGAACTCCGGTACGGTTCACTTCTGATGTGAACGCAATCGTAATCACAGAAGTGAACCGCTATTAATGACGTATGAATTGGTCAAACTGTGTATTTACGTATTTGTGTCACTCGCTTTCCTGAAAAGCGTGATTGACGCTCTGCAGCAGAGAGAATGTATGGGTGCGTTCACACTTGTAGTTCGGTTCTCTTGGTTTGTTTGGTCCGGACCAAAAAAGAAAACGATACATTTGGTCCTGGTCCGCTTAGCGTTCACACTGGCATTTTTGACAGCGAACCTAAAGGCATAGGGAAACGTTCACAACCTGATTGGTCG